TTTTTCAAAATGCTCACAGAAGGTTATAATGTTGTTGGAGTCAAAAAGAAAATCTGCCATTACTGCTGACTCAGTCGCCATGACTTCAGATAACTGATCAAGATGCGTCAACGCAAGCTCCTGGAGCTCCAAATCAGGACAACAGATGCGATATGTCGCTTACTAGTCCAACCTTCGACGTCAGTTGAGGTGAGTGGTAAATGTACCAAACGACCTTTAGAGAGAGATAAAACAAAGTTGACGAACCTTCGACCGGGTCGAAAAAGGTACCAATCAGGTCAACCGATAAGTTTGAGAAAACAATTTGTGCAAAAATTGTTTATCGTTCTTCAGACTTTGTAATTGGACCGTTAACACGGGATAGAAGTTTATAACTGTTTGGCTTACAGTTCGCAAACCATTCAGGAGAGAAATTGGTTTTATTGAAAATAAATGTCGACTTTTATTTCTATCCGTATCGGGACCTGAACTATTTGCTTAGTTCTATAAGGAAATTGTATGCCAAGCTAACGCACGCAGCGAGTCGTACGGGAAAAAACGTAAAAATCGACCTTTATTTTCTAATAACCACAAATATATACGTGTGAAGTAAATTATGATATATACGTGTGAAGTAAAATATAATATATATACGTGTGAAGTAAAATGTAATATATAGGAAAATATGGTAATAGGTACGTATTAATTTGACTGCCGATCGATATGAAATCGATTAGCGACCGACGCAAACCGCACCGCGTAACCGTGAACCAGGTTAAAGATTTAAATTTGATTTACAAAGAAAGTTTTGGGTTTTGGTTTTAAGTTAATTCGAATATGGCAAAGTAAAAGCGTGGCTAGTATTCGGATTAATTTCGCACTTGATTGAAAGGTACAATTATTCCGGCTGATTATCTATGATGTCACGCATAACCGCAAGTAACGCAACGCAAACATATGGATTTTCGAAATTCACTTCTATGTATTTTAAACTGTCTACGTTAACGCACGTAACGCACTGGCTTTCCACGGACCACCGCACAGCCGTATGTACCCGTGCGTTTATATCACGGAAAAAGCCTTGAAATCAATTTAAATGGTTTAAATGTCTATGTTGACGGAAACAACGTTCGGTTAAATTATTGCAAACGAATCTTTAACACACTTTACCAAAACCGATGTATTCGAGAGACAAGAAAATATTCGAATTCGAGTTATGCACTTTTAGCGTATAGCTGTATACAAATTGGAGGTACAAAGGGCTTGTACCTACCTATATGTATATTGGTATATATATATGTATATTGGTATATATATATGTATATATATATAGATAGGGTGTAGGGTTGTAGGTATAACGATGTATGTATGTGCCCGTAATGAGCCACTTGAATATTATTATGGGTTAGTATATATCCATATGTATATTCACCAACGTATATAAATGGAAAAGATAAAAAATCAAATTCATGCAAATGATTTTAAAATTTTCATAAATGTAGCCTTTTTTTCTCTGAGTGTATCGCTTTTGTCAACAGCGAATCTTATTAGATTTTATGTATATATGACGAAAGCAACGAATTGCAAATGAAACACAAATACGTATGTACGTATGTATGTTAATAACGGGTGATTTTTTAAGAGCTTGATAACTTTTTTTTTAAAAAAAACGCATAAAATTTGCAAAATCTCATCGGTTCTTTATTTGAAACGTTAGATTGGTCCATGACATTTACTTTTTGAAGATAATTTCATTTAAATGTTGACCGCGGCTGCGTCTTAGGTGGTCCATTCGGAAAGTCCAATTTTGGGCAACTTTTTCGAGCATTTCGGCCGGAATAGCCCGAATTTCTTCGGAAATGTTGTCTTCCAAAGCTGGAATAGTTGCTGGCTTATTTCTGTAGACTTTAGACTTGACGTAGCCCCACAAAAAATAGTCTAAAGGCGTCAAATCGCATGATCTTGGTGGCCAACTTACCGGTCCATTTCTTGAGATGAATTGTTCTCCGAAGTTTTCCCTCAAAATGGCCATAGAATCGCGAGCTGTGTGGCATGTAGCGCCATCTTGTTGAAACCACATGTCAACCAAGTTCAGTTCTTCCATTTTTGGCAACAAAAAGTTTGTTAGCATCGAACGATAGCGATCGCCATTCACCGTAACGTTGCGTCCAACAGCATCTTTGAAAAAAAATACGGTCCAATGATTCCACCAGCGTACAAACCACACCAAACAGTGCATTTTTCGGGATGCATGGGCAGTTCTTGAACGGCTTCTGGTTGCTCTTCACTCCAAATGCGGCAATTTTGCTTATTTACGAAGCCATTCAACCAGAAATGAGCCTCATCGCTGAACAAAATTTGTCGCGAAACACATTTCGAACCGAACACTGATTTTGGTAATAAAATTCAATGATTTGCAAGCGTTGCTCGTTAGTAAGTCTATTCATGATGAAATTTCAAAGCATACTGAGCATCTTTCTCTTTGACACCATGTCTGAAATCCCACGTGATCTGTCAAATACTAATGCATGAAAATCCTAACCTCAAAAAAATCACCCGTTACATACATATGTACATAAATAAGCAAATAATAAGGCAATGTTCGAACGCCGGCGCAAACGGCACAAATGGATTTACCCAAAAACACGAGTGTATTGAAAATATATACATATACAACCCTATGTATATTTAAGCAAAAGAAATGCGCTGGTGCAACCACCAAGTTGCAAAGTAATATGTATGCGCAGTGGTAAAAATTGTGACACGAACTTTCAGGGTTTTTACACACATACGTTCATATGCATATCAAGACCTATGTATGTACATATGTATAGGAAAATTCCTGCAAAGAATTTTAAAGTTTTGCAAATGTATACTTTTTTTTTTTTTCTTAAGTGTATCGCTTTTGACAATAGCGATTCTGATTGGAAATCAGCGGGAAATTTAGCCGGCAGCGCAGCCAACGAAATATGCAAAGAAATGCAAAGAAACTATGCCAATACGTAAGTATGTATGTACATACATACATACATATGCACATAAATACGCGAATAATACGGCAAAGTTTCTAACGCCGGCGCAAACGGCAAAATTTATATATACAAAAAACCACACAGAGCGTTTTGAAAATTTAGATGTAGATATATGAAGATGTACATACGAGAATGTACGATGGAAATAATAGCGCTGGCGCAACCAGCAAATTTTAAAGTAGATATGTATATGCGGTATGAATACCGAATAAAAGCGTTATGCTAGCGTGTGTTTTTCGGTACATAAGTATGTACATATATACATATGTACATCAACGCATATGGCGAATTGAATTTAAGAATCCCAACGAGTAGTGGGTTTTCGCACATACGTTCATATGTATATTACAGCCGTTAGAGTAACGGGAATATATATATATGTATGATTGGAAAATCAAAAAAATTGTAGTTTGGGACTTACGTGCGTTTGGAGGGTTTTACCATCTTGACTACTTTTGGACTCCCGCGATGTGAATTGGATCCCACGATGCAAATTAGGTCCCGCGCCGTATTTTAGTTCCCACGATGTAACTTATGTCCCTCGATGAGCAATCCCACGACGCACGGAAAGTTGTTTAATATTGTGTTTATTTGCAATCCCACGTTGGGCAGCCGAAAATTTTTCAGATTTTATCAAAAAACTCGCACGTTAATAAAACCGATTTTAAAAATTTGCTAATATGCGTATATAAAAAAGCCGGGAGTTTGAAAATTTGCTGCTGCTCGCTGATGCTGCCGAAATCGAAACGGAGATAATAAAATGACAGTCGCAACCAGTGTGGCCAGGCGACCGCTATTTTTCGAAGTTAGTTTTCGCGTTGCCAATATCAAATATGGCTCGCAAGGACCATGTTCAATATTTACGATATTGGTTTCGATATTAAAAAGTAGTATTTATTAACAATAATTCAAATTTACAATATTTCAAGAAAATTATGAAAGTATGGTTGAATGCATATGCATGTATGCATGAACGAATATAATACAAGAGACTTTAATGTTTGAAGGTGACTTTAATTAACAATAATATGTATGTAGAAACTGAGAATGTTAATACGCGGAAAGTATGAATGATTTTAAATAACAACTTGAGTGCAAGAATTAATGTTTAACAATATGAGAAGGTTCGCGAAGCGAATGATTTTATGAAATGAAATATAATTTAACTGTACAAGTACGCAAACTATTAAAAAGATAATGCGAACGATTTGATCGATGAATAGAGGTCCTGGTAAGCGGAAATCCCTCGGTGGCTGAAAAATGATGATGTGGTGCGCAAACTATTAAAAAGATAATGCGAACGATTTGATCGATGAATAGAGGTCCTGGTAAGCGGAATCCCTCGGTGGCTGAAAATGATGATGTGCTGCTATCCTGCTGGACGTCAGTGGAAAAAAGAAGAGCGAATGACAAGGTGGCGGTTGCATTTATAGGCAACACTGGAAGTGGCCCAATGTGCCAATAAGCAACCGTAGGAAGCAATTCCCGTGCACTTGTCGAACTTCCAACTAGAGCAGGGATGCTTTTCTAGAGAATATATGCAGGGATGCGTTGAAGAATCAAGCTGAGCAGGGATGCTTTCTTTAAGTAGGCGCAAGTCACTTAAACATGCCGGCCCCGTTGCACTTGTGCAA